CCATGTCACGCATGACATGCAGCGACTGCTCCGAAACTTGAGCATCGCTCAGTGGGTTTCGTGCCACTTCACGATCAGCCAGCGAGCCACGCTCGGGACTTCTGTCCAATGCACCGTTGGTGTCTACCGACTCGGACAGTCCAGTGTCTAGCACATCGACCGTCTCGGTCAAGTGCTCTCGCTTATAGCGCCTTTGTCTCCTAGCAGTGGTGGATTCAAGACTCGCCAAAGCTCCACCAGGAGACGTGCGCGTAGCGCCCACGGTCTTTGACCTCCAATCAATCCATGGCTCATGGTGTTTCAACCATGTCATTCCTAGGATGAGGTCATACCTTGCATCCAAGTCTAAAAATCAAAGTCAGGAAACTTGACACCGAGAATCACAGGGACCTTCGACACGATGACTCAAGTCCCGTAGCTAAGCGAACGGTGACAGTGACCAGAATCAATAAGGGGTCTCCATGGCTTATCAAAGCCCTTCACGGTCGCTTCCACGACCAGCAAGCGACGCTGTTTGTCGATTGTGTCTTTCGACAACATGGAGTCCCGAAGTCAATTATCTCTGATAGAGACCCACGCATCACTCGGAAGTTTTAGTCTACACACGTTGACTATGTGAACAGCGGACAATCCGCAGACCGATGATTAGACTGAGCGCGTGAACTGCGTCGTTGAAGACGTTATTCGCAGCGCCTGCGCTAAGATGCCGAAGCGCTGGAGCGCTATGTTGCCACTCGTAGAGTTTGCTCTAAATAAGCATTCATCTATCGGCTGGACGCCGTTCTACGTGAAAGGGCTTATTCACCCTCGCGTCCCGCTGACGCCTCCATCCCATGGATCAGCGCTAGCCTAGCGTATACGCTGGACCTTCCGAGAAGGGTACGCACCCACCCGGTGCTTTATGTGGACTTGCGTATGCCGTTCTGGCGCAAGTCAGCGCGGAAGGCGTTGTCTCTGGGGCGGCGCCCAAAGGCGTTCGGCCACCTAGTAGCTGAACCAGCAACTGGTTCTGAGCACGGAGTGCAACAACTTCCGTTTCCAGCGGCGCAAGGCACTTTGCCATCGCACAAAGTGATTTATTTGCCGGCACGACAGCTAGGAGCCGCTCCGACAGAGCACGATGATTCTCAACGCGAGGCAGTCGGTGCACAAAGTACTCCAGACTCTCGAGGTCTTCCGCACAGTGGTAGGCGACCTCGGAGAGATGCTCGGCAGAGTGCCGATGACGACGGACGTTGTCCTCCAGCGCTCAAATTGCATCGTGAGTCACCCGAAGGCGATCGACCAAGTCCTCATCGTTTGCCGCCAACTCTTCTCGATGAGAATGGTGGCGTCCACTTCCACGTGGAACGTTTTGTGGGTCGACGTCGTCGATGGGGCTAAACGTAATATCTTGTGAAGTGGCGGGATACCCAAACTCCCAGAACTCGTGTTTGTCAAGTCTTTTAACACGCATTACGGAATAACGAAGAGAGGAAATAGTAAAAAATTAAAGGTATTTAAGAATTTTGATCTGATTTTTCCTAAGTCAATCGGCTCAACATTTAGGGCTTTCAGGTAAAACACTTATTCTACCCAGGGCTCGCTGATATATTTTTATAGATGTTCGACCCTTCTCTATGGGCAAACCAGCCCAACATTGTACACACTTAGAATGCGAAGACTGTGCAACTACAACGACGATAGGCTCGGCTTTGCATTGCATATCGGTGGACCAGTTACTCAAGCTCCATTTATATGGGAGTCGAGGAAAATTGCAGCAGTGACACAGTAGAAAAAACACTTACGGAGTTGTATTCGTGTAGTTGATTCAACGTAGCATAACTACTGCATCTAGCGCTTTGAGCAGAATGGCTTATTGCAGTTATACCATGAAGTTGCTGCTTCTTTGTGTATATTTCAAGTCAGCATTTCAAATGGACCAATTTGACGGATTAAGATATATTTCGCAAAACCCCAAAAAGGAAATAAATCTGCTTGCTTAAAAGATGCCTAATTAATGATTAGGCAGCTAAAGATCTATGCATAAAAAGTAAGCTGATGGTCTTGCGAAACGGCTCGAACAGATCCATCGCAATGACCATGTAGCTCACAATGGCACCAAAAAGAAGTGTGAGCGTTAACAAACGAACGGCCCAGACACCGGCAGCGCCGAAGAGACGAGAGCTTAACGCCTCATATGAAAATTCGTTGGTGGCGTCGCAGCACACGCTGAGCAATTCACAAGCGTGGAATGCCAGCCACGCACTCAAAGCAAATAAAAGAAGCGCAGGGAACGGACCAACAGCTTGTACGACGCCCGAAAGAGTCAAAACTCAGGCACCCGTCATGGTCGTGGTGAGTCCTAAGAAGGACGAGAAAGCCGATCCTTCTTCTGTGAAACTGCGAGCACTTGGAGGAGCAGAAAGTGGAAGCGATGGAGTTGTGGCATCAGTTGAACACTTATGCGATGGACTTTGCGCCGCACTCGTTGTCCGCTCCTAGCCATTCCACTCTGTCCCCCGGATACCATCCACGAGCTTCGTTTGGCCAACACGCTAGTGCTAGTATGTCTCCTTTACATTCTTGTGGGCTTCGCACAGTACAGAATGACCGCGAATTTGCAGCGCATATCCCGAGAAATTATGCAGACGAGTTTAGCTCTGAGTTTGCTGCGCTGTCATACGCGCTCCCCATCCTTACATTAAGTTTTGTTTGTCAACTTAATGTCCCGCACGCGTATCAAGAAACTCATGACAAGCCGCAGATGACACATGTGCACAGGGCACTTGTGGGATGGACACTTTTTATTTATCTTCTCTTCGCTTATCTGGGCTACGCATGTTTTCACGGAGAGCCACCTAGCAACATCTTGACGGGCTTTAAGACTAATGACAAGCTTATTAATGGAGCTTGCCTTGCACAGGGAAGCAGCCTATGACATTTCAACCATGACGTCAGCTCTTTAAAATTTGCTGTCTTGCTCACGACCGTGAAAGCTTGGCGTTCCGCACTGGTATTACAATTTTTGCTAATTGCTCATTTATTCTCAGTATCTTCACGTAATTTGGGCACTGTCATGGCATTCATGGGTTCAGTGTCAGGCAATATGCTTGCGTTACAGTGCCTGGTCTATTCCTGTACGAAGTGTCGCGTGGATATCTCATTGAGCGAGACGCATTCTTTTCACCGCAACTTGCGCTCATATTTGTATACACTGGAGCATTTTTTGCGGCAGCCTCACTCTCGTATCTTTCGTACTTTGCCCTTTGGGCTAAAATGTATAATGCCGAAAGCTAATGCGCAGCCGTCGGAAGACGGTGTCGTCTGACAGAGACGGCCGAGGAAGCAGCAAAAGTTGGACTTGCTTTAATTTTCTACTCGATAATAGTCGCCTTTTCTGTGGAATGCTATCCTTCGAGTACACGAATAAAAATGGTCTATGCCGGAAAAATGTTGAAATTCACAGCGGAAGTCCTGAATGACTCATCAAACCAAGATGCGAATGAAAGATTTTCTTATGCATTCAGATATAAAACGGGCTAACTTCGTCTGGTATCATATGACTGATTTCTGACCTGGGTGAATGTGAAGACCAGATTGACAGATTCTATAGGGAAGCAAGTGATGATAGTATCGAGGTTGCTGATCAAGCGATCATAATTACCTGAGTTTGAAAAGGAGTCGTTTGCGTAGACCGCGGCTGCTTTGCGAATAGTAGAGTCTTTGCATTTGATCGTGAAAGGGACAGAATCGACAAGGAAGCGATGTTAAGCAGTCCTTGCCTTATGATCTGCTTTGCCTTTCCCGTGGTATGTTTTGCAAGATCGTACCCATGAAATCGAAATTCGCATGGAAGGCTGTGAATCTTGTCTCTGTGGCTTGTTGTAGCATTGTCTTTGGTCACCGGGATCTCGTCCACGTGGTTTCTGCTCTCAAAACTAAGGCGATTTTATTTTAAGAATGACATTAATGCGATCTTTTGAGATCTTCTGGCTATATATCCTTCAGTGCTACCATTTATTTGATTGCTCCTGAGCTACTTTTGATAATTCTTTCCACCTGAAATTGTCAACTACATCAAAAATCTGAAAGGTCTGACGCCTATGCGTCCAGAACATCACGCCGTATTATCCCCCTCTTTGATCTCACAACTCTTAAAACTTAAGCATTCTGATCCTCGTTTCCACATTTTTCGTTTTAACTGACGTCGGGTCTCGGGCAAAAATTGAAGCATGAAACGCTGTAACAGTAATTCCAAGCATTTAGTCGCTGCAATCATATCTCAGAAAGGATTCGATGTAGCTTCTCTCCCTGAATTGTCTACATATCTTCATCTCGGCTACAAAGATAATTAGTACTTATCATGACGAAAACAACTTTTATACCGTACGTATTACGAGCTCTGGCTGCATGATAAACTCTTTTGATTCTGTCGTGTATCGATAGGATGCGTACGTTTGCAGTGCTTAATGCTGTACCTAAAGAACGACTTGGTCAGGTGCTGACTCGTGTGCTGGACAAGATGGCGAGGAATGTACGCTGGCAATCTCGTTTTGATATTATTGAAAGTACGTTATCACCGTAAAATGACGGTAGGAGGTCGAAGTATTTAGTGCAAGTGAAAAGTCCCAGCTCGAGACGATACTGATGCTGTCGGGCGAACAAATTGACTCGATTATCGATGTTACCATGACAATATATCATGACGCCGCCATGTTTGGCCATGTGGACCAAAATTTGCTTACCTCGCATGGCGTCGATGAGAATGTCGTACATGCAATAGAAAAGGCGTGGAGAAAGAGAGGACGCTCCGTGGCGGCACAGATCGCCGCGTTCAAAATGGTTTGTAGACCAGCACTACAGCTGCGTAAGACCGAATGGCGTTTGCATTTGGAGATGGGGAGCAACAAACGTAGCAGGCAGTCGAAGCCATTGGCAATTTTACAGCTTGACCTTGTGGGTCCAAGTGCAAATGAGGTACGAGGTCAAGTTGCATTGCTAAAACTCGTTGAATCTAATACAGCTATTGTTTGCCATAGAATGAGAAGATGGATGTCGAGATTTCGCACACAGAGTTGCGTTCTCTATTTCTTCAGCTAAATGCCATCCAAGCGGAGCTGGATACATCACCGCTATAGCTGCCAAGAAGACAGCATTTTTCACTCGATTTACAAATTTTACGATATTTTTTTTTCATATTACCGACACCTCCTCAAAATAATAATTTCCTATGATACTCGACAAATTGGAACTTCAAGCTTCAGATGAATCAGATTTTCTCCAAGTGTGTCAACTCTTATTAATCTAATATCAGACTGCTTCGTAATGTCGACAATGACTCCCCTTCGAGGCTCTCAGTAAGGGTGATTTTCGATCAACCGTCAACATATGTAGCTGCTTCACTTTGCCGTATCCTTTCGGCTTAAAGATAGTTAATAGCCGCAAAAAGAACTTAACTTTGCCAGTATAGCGGTCCTGCTACTTTCACGAATTGCTCAATGGCTCTAACCATGCCAAACGCATCTACATTTGTCGATGCATCCAACAACGTTGACCAACTTCGCCAAACTTGTATCATCTGAGTCCGTGATCTTGCTGGACAAATCTAAAATAACAATTTAGCATTTCAGAGTGTTAACAACCGATGAACACATTAATACCGCCAAAGTAGCATGAGCTGATTGTCCGTCACTGCGCCTTTAACGAGATGTTTTATATCATTAATGCTACAAAAAGACTATTCAGTTTGGCCAAGTACAAGAGGTGCTGCGTTGTACGCTCGCACCTTTTGGAAAAAAGGTCGTCCAAAGATATCCTGTGCAGTAGTGACTGTGCTGAATACTGATTGATAATGTTTGTTGACACCAAAAAGCGTTCGAATTGCGACTCTTCTTCCAGTAAAAATGGACGCTCGAACCATACGCGGGGCAAGATACGGTATTCATTCATTGCAACGTCTGCGCATTCATCAACAACAGCGCGCACAAGGCGACCAGTTTCTTCGCACGAAAAACTACCAACACCTGTTAGAGATCATGACATTTGACCGATTTTAAAAAGTGGACTGCACCTAGTTAGAACTTGAATACTGATCCGAAACTGCACGAGAGCAGAACAAAACGAGGTGATTCTGTTTTCTATCTCAGCTGAAGGGGGAGTTCTGATAGCTATATTTCCATGATTTTAGACCATTGGAGCGACGCAAACGGTAAATGTGTGGTTCTTACTAATGACAAGCCAGCATTTATGCAGCTGGAGCTGTAGCCGAGCCAAGCTGAAAATAAAATTTCGCGTCTTCGCTTCAACTTTATCATAGAATGATTCTTAGAGCCGATAGCTAGGGTTAACTAAAGTGCTCACCTTGAAATGTATCTTCAGTCACCATGCAAATGCAATTACTCTCATCCACCAGAATATCAATCGGAGGAGAAAGATCTCGTTCAATAAAAAATATTTGCTGCTCAGTGCAGAGTTCGTCAAGAAGCTCGTCCTGTTACCGCAAGTGTTAGTGAAACTATCTGGGTTCAGCAAAACCTCAAAATTATCGTTACCTGCTCTAAGAACTTGATTGAGCACAGGACTCGAACAGGAATTCTCTCTATTTCTGACTGCAAAATTTTTTGTCGTTTCAAAGTCGGCTGATTTTCTTCATTTATGTTGCAGGTATCGGCTTCAGGCTCAGTGATTAAGCTTGATGACTCGATTCTTCCACTCATTAATCGCAGAAACACGATAAGATCTTTCCAGTTTGAATCACCCAACAGAAGTCTGTATATGGCGCTGGAAAGAATCTTATTCACGATGGAATCTGTCATATTCTCGTGATAAGCTCCATTCATTTTGTGGTAGATTAAAACGGCGCTGCTCCATATATCAAAACAAGTCAGTCTTTCCTGTAGCGTCGACACAAAAATCGCATATTCTACCGCAAAGTATGCAGCCAAGAAGCCTGGCGAAGGCTAGTACAAGCCTCAACTATTTCTATACTAGAATACGCTGATGGATTTATGCACATGCTTTTGACTCTCAAAAATTGCTGAAAAATTAGCGCTTCGAGCTCCTCCAAACTGATGCAGCTGAGTGTGCGCTTGATAGAAGTCTCGTTTGCTTGAATTAATTTTTTACGCATCAGATCCCACAGCGCTGGTCGAGCAATTTGTTGAAGCAATTGATCTTGGTTCAAAGGCCTTTCGGAGCCATTCACAACCGTATCCTTTGCTGAAGTTATGTCATATGTGTCAGCTTCTATGGATGACCTACTCCAATTACACTTCAAAAATTGATCGCTCAAAAAGTAGTCCGTGTTCAGAGGACTGTTTTCAGCAATAACCATACTTTTTGAATCGGTTACTAATGGCTGGTCGGCCGGCTTAGCAGTTATTCTGTCATCGCTGCAATCTTGCCAATTTTTTGAATGCTGTTCTGAGTCATATAATTTCTCGGGCACCTTCTCATCATTTTGCGTGCAAGTAGTAGACTCTAAGAGATCTGACATAGGCCTTAAATGCTCTGTAACCAATTCTGCCAGTATATCCAATGTGGTATTCATTTCCCATATATTTGGAATATTCATCGATGCACAAGTCAGTGAGATATCCGATCGTCGGAATTTGCACAGATAGCTGTTAGCAGCCGATGTAATTTTAGATGGAGCTTGGTCGATTCTGTATCCGTCTTGTCGAACCAGGTCGGAAGGAAGCATAAACTGCTGTAATCCTTCTCCACATTCTGCTGACGATCGAGAAACACAAATGTCATCCTTTAACCAATCGACACTGAAAATATCCGGCACGACAATTTTTTTCGCTGGAATCAGCATTAGAGCGACCGATCGGGTCATCTTTGTGTAGATCTGAGCTGACTGCTCAAAAAGTAAAGAGCACCTGGGTCGACGCGCCTCAGACCACCCACAATGCATCCGCCGTGGTTCGGACGATAGTAGCCGCTGGGCATCCTCAGTTTGTATTTCCGTATCAATCTTATGCAAGATTTCTTGCGCACAAATATCACTGTCAATGTCCCAAGAACTCCATAAGTCTGACCCACTTGTTGTGGAAGAGACTTGCTGCTCTCCCTGTAGCGACTCGATAATTTCTCGAAGATGTCGCTCTCCCTTTTTTTTTAAAGTCTCATACCTATCTGTTGAGACTGTGTAGGAAGGATTAGGAATCATCATTTTAAGTGATAAGTAGCATTGCTCACCGTGATGATCAATGTCTTTAAATGCTTCTCCCGACAAATCTGTATTCACGTAATTCTCACTGGTGGGGTCATCTCTCAGATCGTGTGATTTGACATTTTCACAATCAAGCAAGCTGGCATCTTCAATAAATTTTAAGCCTCCATCACCACATTCTGAATAGCATTTTGCAAGAATATCGGTGAACACAATTTTGGACTGAAGTTTCCCGGATTCTTCTTCCACATCTCCAATTCCAGGAGATGTCAAGCCTCTTTCACTAATTTTGCTGGTTGCAAATGTGCTGTTCTTGTCCTGGGCCCTCCGATGTGCTCGTTTTTCTCTTCTCTTAATTACTTTTTGCAGCTTTTCGCGTTGTTTCGTTGCACAACCAACAACACTCTTACTCATTCCGTCGGTGCCAACCGCTACGGCGGGGGCTTTAAGTACGATAACGTGGTTATTAGGCAAGAAATGCTGGCAAAAATGTGCTGTAACGCACCAGTCACGTTCGCGGCGTTGACTTTTCGACGCGGCATTTCACGAAGTGAATGTTGCTCATGTTGAAGTTATGGAATAATCAAAAATTACAGACAAAGGCACAAATTGACAAAATCATTCTCTTTTATTAAACTAATACAATGGAGGGGACAAACGGCATCTTGTTGCTTGGCTCCGAGCTGGGCGTCGGCGTAAATGCGCTAGTCAGTAGCCTCGTCGGACTTCACATGCTGGCTCTGGTTTGTGTTTTGACTCAGATTTTGCATGTGCGTTAAAATTGGCTGACGTACATTTGCGCAGTTTTATTGGGTGTACAAGCTCATGCAAGAGAGCTCAAATTCTTCTAAGCGAGCCTCGATCAAGAAACGCCAATAAGCACGGCTATTCCGTGATGAAAATACTATCTAGTTTGTGAAATTGCAATCTCAGAGTTGCCAAATGAATCAAAAGCTTACTCTATTTGCCATCAAAATACGATTTATCCAGGTGCTGTGATTTAAGGCAAAAAAGACTATGATTCAGTAATATCTCTATCGACGACCATGAAGCTTCATTTCTTGCATGGCCTGAAAGCGACCGGTGTAATATCCTGATTGATACCATGCCAGAAGCACATTTGCCAATCCGTCGTCGGGCCCACCTGCAACGGATGTTGCACCAGTAAACGAGGCTGAAGCACCAGGCATATTAGCAAAGGGTGTCGGTGTAGGTGGAACAAGCGGTGGTGGTGGAGGATTGTTTGTCGACGCCACTGTGACTGCAGGTGCCTGCGCGTTTAGTCCATTTAATTGCTGGGAAATAGTAGCAGGATACGCAGCCTGGAATTGGGCTTGAAAATGCGCGTAGGCTTGGGCATACGCAGCTTGATACACATCACTTGATACCTGCTGCTGTACTGCTGTTTCTCGTTGCTTTTGCTGACGATTTAAGGCATTCGGACGTCCTTGCTTCTCTGTTTCATTTGCTGCAGACGTGACTGTAGTCCTATTTTCATACCGCTCTTTATCGTCCTTGCAAATTTCGCTCATGGTTCTTGCCTCCATCGTACCCTTCAAGTGCTTGTGCTTGCTGTCAACATGTAGGATACTAAGTGAGTTACATGCAACACAAACAGATACAGGCGTTGCCTTACCCGCCATTCGACGGAGAAAAAGTGGAAATTTGTGTGCGCTGGTCCAACATTGCTGCCTCAAACGCCTGCGTCACAAACGGAGATCAAATGCATTACATCGGCATTCAAATTGAGTAATGCGTTAGAGCTTGCTGTACCCGCACGATGGCCATGTCGTCCCATTGCTCCTCAAAACCCTCCTCGCTACTACTCTATATTTAGTGCCACACATATGTAAAGTCCGCCGTGCTATGCCACCATCTTATGAATGTTCATTACCATCGACTCCATTATCAATAAGACCGGTCGAAGTTAATTGTTTACCTCTATTCTTAATTTATTAGGTTTGGATAAAATTATTCTTTTACTTAGTATAGTACAAAAATTCAGAAACAATTTTATGGTCTCAAAATCATGTTCTTTTAATTTACAAAAAGAGGTATCTATTCATCATTCGCAACCTTAATTTGCTCCACTCTTGTAATAATTTAGCAAAATGTCTTATAATTGAAGCGCACAATCAGCAAGTTTGAGCTCATAAATTTCTTACAAAAAGTGACGACATTCAAAGAGTGCAAACTGCCATCAACACATTAGGTGTAGGGATGGCTCATTCCAGCTCACAATTTGGATTTTTTTTTTTGCGAATTAGTATTAGCAGCCACGCCATTTACGCCATTTTTTTTCCTACACCACACACACCTCACATCATCCATGCACCCCACTGAACGGAGCTTTCTTTGCGCAGTGGGGCTTTTATCTGCCGTGGCAGTTCAAGACGCGGCTACTCAGAACACAATTAATGTAGCATGTGAAAGGCGAAATGCGACGCTCAGGGTGAACGAAATGAGCTCATCATATCAGTGTTCAGATGTCGAGAATTGGACCCCGCAGCCAATCAATGCAGGCGACGTTATGGTTAGTGTGGCAGCAGATATACTGACGATGGAGCTGCAGAGCTCTTCAGCAGCAACACTGTAAGTCATGCCACGATTTGAATATATAAATTATATTAAATCGTATTTTGCTTTGCAGAAACTTTGTCGCCATTAACGGAATCTCAACATTGGCCTCGGCTCACACCGACTCGTTGAATTTTGCAAGCTTTCACAATCTTAAGAGCTTGTGGGTATACACGATCAATCAAGTAAATATTGATCTTGGATGTATGAAGAATGAGCTAACGCTATCGTTGACAATGTTTACAGGACTTTCCAAGGTGTCGAATTTGAACCATCAAGCGTCAAATTGGTCGTACCCAATACCGTTACCGATATGTGTGTGCCATTATTGACAAACAGAAGCATGATAGAAAAGTGTTGTAAACTTGTTTTTGTGCCATAGTCATTTAATTGGGGCGGCGCTGAAGGACCTATCACTGCCAAATCACTCCGATGGTCTGGTGAAAATGTATGTGATGTACTCAATCATGGATAGTTATGCGCTTAATAATTACTTCGATTGCTGCGTAGTGAATTAAACGATACGTCGATAAGTCATTTTCCAAAGTTCTTATATGAACGAAGGCTGAATCCTAATATGAATATGTACGTCTCTTTGTGCGAAATAAAACCTTATCTCATAAGTAACATTTTGATATTACCTTTGCAGTGTTGTGGACTTATCAACTGTCACTACAACAACCGTTTTGAATGCAAGAGAGTCCGTAAATCTAAATGCAAACGCGAAGACATTATCATCACAGGACTGGGCTAGACAACTAACATCGTCTTGCTCGACGCAGAGCCTTTTCAACTCAATTCGAGTTACTCGAAAAAATGGCACGACGGTATTTTTATGCACGCCACAGTACTCGTCCGCGACTGATGACGTTGTGCTGGAAGATGTATATTCCGCACCATCTGGCATAAATGACTCTGACACTTCGAGCTCTAGTTCAGATGATGCCAGCAGCGGTATTTCGACGGGAGCATTGATTGCAATTATCGCTACGGTCTTTGTCTTTGTTGTGATTTTGGCATTCATTTGTTTGCGCATGTACTTTAAGCGCAATGTTGAGAATGCAAACGCTCATGGCAACGAAGCGACAGCAACGCTAATGAGCAAGGGCGATACGGCTACTGAGAAAGGCTCATTTTTATCGAATGATGAATTGCTGCGAAACTTTTGGCTGCCTCAGAGTGATGTTGCACTCGTAAAATCTCAGGGTAACGGCCGCTTATACGCTGGCGAATATAATGGTAGTAAGGTCATGATAAAGCGCATAGAGTCCGAGGTGACAGACTCGCGCGTAACAAAGGCGCTGATGGCCCAAGCACGAACATTTGCGACGATAGCACACCCCAACATTTCGAATCTCGTGGGCGTCACATGGCTGGCTGGCACTGATTTTGCAGTTGTCACTGAGTTTATGGATATGGGCACCTTGAAAGCTGTGCTTGCAAATGTGACCGTCAACCTAGACATGACTACCAAGTTAAATATGTGCTATGATATTGCTACGGCTCTAGCATACTTGCACGAATCAGCTCAGAACTTTTGTGTGAAGAGGCTTTCGAGCCGGAAGGTACTCGTAAACAAGGCATATAAGTGCAAACTAAACTTGTACGATTGTGTACATAGCTCTGCCAAATTCGGAGGCCCAAACGCGGCAGCCACGTACTCGTATGGTATGGGCGAACTTGTGTGGCTATCACCAGAAATTATTACACGGTCATCACCAATGGACGCGCGCAGTAACAATATTTACGCTTTTGGCGTCTTAGTATGCGAAATTCTGACGCGCGTAACACCATATCGATCGCTTATTGAAAATTTGGGCAACACCAAGTCAGATATAGAACTCGTCGAACGAATTCGCCGCCAGGAAGCGTTAATACCTCATGAGAATCGACAAGAATTTATCACAGCACCAGCAAGTGTGCGGCAAATGGTTGAGCAGTGCCTATCCTATGCACCTATGAGCCGGCCGACAGCCAAAGACCTTGTGGATGTTTTGCGCGATGCCAAGGCAGAATTATCGACCAACAACATTTGATTGGAAAACCAATCTTCAGGTTCGGCGAACAGGAAGTCGACGCAACCAGCCATTGGTACGGCTTTATCGAGATGCTGTTATTGTGGTGATGAACGATTACTGGCATCTTCTCGAGTATCAATGCTCGCTGGCTGTGCTGTTGATACTAGTAATTGGATTACCGAAACATGGCATGTATTATCTATCACCTTCATCATCTATCAGACTGATAAATAATTTGTATATTCGCAATAAATAGAACCTCACCTTAGCACAAAAATAAGCTAGATTGGCTAAACATTACATAATCAAACTACGAAAAGAAACAGCATAACATTTTGAGCACAAAACAGCGTAACTTTTTAAGTCGACATCGATCTAACGTCGTGCCTTTCGTCAACGTTTCCAGCTCCTGCTGTCGGGCCTGAAGATGCAGATGAATATGGTGGCAACGTATTTGCCGGGCGCGCTTGCATTTATCCAAAATTGAAGTGGACATTTTGAAAATAAATTGTTTGATATACGAAGGAAGTCTCGTTTGGTGTAGATTTTAATATACATCGACGTCAAAATTATTCAATCTTTAAAAAAAATGCGTGCGCCATTGAGAGACCAGTCAAGCAAGTCAAACTCGCGGCGATTTAATTCAATGCGTTTCGCAGTTAGCTGCAGCGTATGCACTTCCTCCTCATCATCAATGAGTTCAGCTGTCGTCTCTTTCTGCTTCTTGGCCGCCTGCTCCCGCTTACGAGCCTCTCGTTCAGCTTGTTTCTCATTGTAAGCCTCCTCCTCGGCCTTGTACTTGCGCACTACCTCTTCAAACCAGTGCAAGGCATCAAATTGCTGTGAACACACAAACAAGTGAAAATTAGCGTCATGAAATCATTAGAAGTATTAACCTACCTCTCCTTGGTCAAGAATCGCGAGAATATAGGCAATTCCAATCGCGAATCCGTCATCTGAAAAATAAGATTCTCGACGCCGAGTGTTCTTGTACATCAGATCCTTGGCCTGCACCGTCGTCTCGACGTAATTGATAGTCAAAGCCGGGATAATGTTGTAAAAGTTGATTAAATGCTTTTGTTCGTCACTTGCAGTCACATCTTGAAAAACTTTGACCAGTACTTTGAAATAGTCGTTATTTTCAGAAAAGTTTTTGGCCAACGTCGAAATGACCGAATCTAAATTACGAGCAGCAACAACTGTCTCACGTGACAAATTAGCGCCAACGACTTCTTCTTGAATCACTTCACCAGTCTCCTCATTTTTTTCTTCAGCAATGCCGTGACCAGCAAATGCTTCGAACTTAAAGTGGGTATGATTTAAATCCGGCACGAACTTAATAGCATTGCTGCAATGATTCATACCTGCAGATCGCACCATTCTCACGTACCCTAGCGCATTGCCGATTTCAGTAATTAGCATACGAAATTGGTCTAAAAACGTTTTCCCGGAATCTGAAACGCCTAATTTGCGAATATCTTTATTGAATTGGAAAGCACGATCGAATGGATACTTGTTGTCCACATCCTTGTCATCGCGATGCTTCTTGTACCATCGCTTTTCACGCTGAAGATAACTTTTGATGTACTCATCAAAAAGAAATTGCGAGAAAATGTCGAACTTTTTTGTTAAGAACTGGTAAGTGAAATTCACTGTTGTGTTCATGATTCCCATGCCGTGTGTACGAATCGAGCTTGCAATTGAGTGAATATTGATCGAGTTCAAATGACGTGAACCCTTGTCGCTACGACGTTCCAGAAAAAATTGTTGATTTAGGTTGTAATTGTAGCGAGCGACAAAAATTTGAATGTTTCTCATAATCTGTAGAATATCCAGCCCTTGATCAAGCGATCCCATAGGAAGGTGATTGTCCGCGAGACTTAAGCCATATTTGTCATTGGCCAAATTGCGCATTTCTCCATACGTCTTCCAATCATGCAGCGCAACTGTAGTCAAGTTGTAAAATGTGCTCTCTAGGTAATGAGTCACATGCTGGCGTATGTCCAGCATTTTGCCGTGCAGCCGAATCGGACGCAAATCCAGATAGTAGTGAAGAACTTTGAAATCCGCACTTTTCGGATTTGGGGCATCTAAATGGTCTAAATGAACCGAATGAACATGTAAACGCAAGTCGTTTTCTACGTCTTTGCACAAATTATCGACAATTTCTTCGTTGAGAACCGACTCAATGAATTCTGCATACGCCTTGACGTACAATTCGTTATCAATCTCGTGTTGTGCGCCGCGAAGTAGCTTTATGCCATCCAAGAAGCCTCCGACGACGTACTGAACACGATTCGCTTGTTCCGGTTGGTTGTACAAATCGGATAGAAAAGGGTGCAAGAGCTCACGACTCCAATAGAAAAACGAGCAGTCACAGGCACTTCGAATTTTGCGTTGAAAATCACTCAGCAGACGCAACTTCCAGATGAGTTTCACAGGTTCATTCGCGTCTTTGATACCCATAGAAACAGTAGCGTCCGTCTCGTTTCCCTTATCGTTACTATCTGTCGATTTATTCTCGGGTGAAATCACGGCAATTTGAGCTGCAAGATCTAACACGGTGATCCGCGTATACGAAAACGATTCCCCGGAATTCAAAATTTCTTCTAGCACAGTAACAGCCGCTAGTACATCGAGTTTCGTGTCATCAAACTTCTTGCTGGCTTCCAAATGAGCTTTGAGTGGACGAAAGAATGAAAATAGCGAGTGAGCCACTTGACGCAGCAAGTGCGACGATGATTCAGACAAAATCGGATTCTTGCGAGCAAACATGAACTCGACTGCTTTGAGTATTTCTATGCATGTGTACAAAGGTCTCACCACGCGTTTTGGCATTGGAACTTGAAGCGAAAGATGCAAATTTACCAACGTGTGCATCATTGTCTGCACTCGTTTTGCGAGAATTAATCCCTTAAGGATCAGATTACCACGTATATTCAATGTGCGAGAGACGTCACCCATTCCGCGCGTTGTCGGCTGGAAAAATGATTCCATGCGAACAAGCCACGCACTTAACTCCAACTTGGCAGTAGTAACATCCGCTGGAAATGCATCATCGAGCGAGTGCAAGTACTCACGACGAAAATCTAAAATGTCTGTCGGATGTAGTTTCTTCGACGTCATAGGCGCGTATTTAAGTAAAAAGTCTGGCATATACCACATGATTTTGCCACAAATCGTCACGCATGGAGCTTTCGTCTGTATCTCCCACAATCGTTTGTATAGCACATGGTCCGCCGGAACGTTGGATGGTTGTAGTCGTCGAAAAAGCACGTAAAGTCCTGTCGTACCGACCAAGTCGTTCCTTTCAAAAGTTTCAGTAGCCGACGTAATTGAACTCTCGGCAATACCCAATCGTGAGCTGATACAGTGCACAAATTCTTCCAAAAACACTTGATTTGAGCGGATATCGATCTTCAATTCGCCTCCACTGCTGCTTGTACGTCGACCACCGCGTTCACTATCGCTCCCGTCTTCAAGATCTTCGTCATCTTCTGCCAAGTCTCCACCTGAAAAGACCTCGAAATCCTGCTCAATGCAGCTCTGAAATACTTGAGCACTCATGATTGTTTGGTCAAGACTTACAAGAAGTCGCTCGAACTGCTTTACTTTGTCAACTGTGACGTTGTAGCGAGGTGGATCCGAACGAACATACTGCATCATACGCTTGTATTTATCCCATGACGTAACAATATTTGGGTTGTCTATGATAATGGCATCAATTGTAATCATAATTTCCAGCAGACTTGCCAACGCATCAAAAACAGGATACAAATGCACAAGCTTGAACGTCGATTTCCACAGCTTCTGAAAGCTTTGATATAGACTCGCAAGTTGATGAATCATATTAATGGTAATGGCATTGCATCGGTCCACAAAATTAGAAATATCTTGAAAAAAAGCCAACATACGCCCCATGTATATTTCGTCTTCTCCAGCTTTGACAACGCTTTCTTCGCCATGACGAGCCTGACCGAACATGATAAGTGCTGGATAAAAATTGTCTTCGACCGTCACTTTAAGCTCAGAAATCTCGTCACACAAGACGGAAAAAACCGTAAGCACCTTATTAAACAATTCATTGTCCGTTTTGATAAGGTCTTGTACATCTACACGCTCTGCTGGATGCAAATACAACTGAATCGGATCCGCCTACCATGTTTCCGTTTAATGTCGATCAAAAACCAAATAAAATCATAAATAGACCTACCCAATAACCCCAAACTTCTGACATTGCAGCTGTAACTGCATCCTCAATCTCCTTCAATTTGGTCTAAAATCATTCAAAACATAGACACAATCCATCAGCTCTTGTTGCGCAAAATAATAATGATTTCTTCTAACCGTGTGATCATTGATGATGGCCAAGCCTCTCTGCAATTCCTCTCGAATCGGTTGCTCCTGAGCGTCGAAGTCAGAGAAGGGACTGCCAAACTGCTCGTCTGCCAGATTCCAATTCTCCGTGATTGTTGACAGTGCGTTGCTATCTCTGCGTTTCTTGCCTTTAGTCACACCAAAATTTGACACGAAGGACTGCCGCCCGCGCCTTGAGCTGCTCATACTGGAGCGACTACTAGTGCGCGACAATTTCGAGGCTCTCGAGTCCGATCGTTGGCGGTTGTGACTAGACGAAGCCCTTCCTCCAAGTTCCGTGAGTCTTAGATCCCTAGCTGACATGTCAGACGCACGGGAGTCGGCGCGACCCATGTCAAAGCGCGTCGAGTCCGCCCACGAAGCTTTCGAGTCGAATCGAGGACGATGCTGAGGACGTTGCGATGGAGACAAAAGCGCGCTCGACTCGTCCGAGAGACTGCTACTTATGCTGCTGCGAGATTTGACGTCATCGTTAATGTCCTTCGAGTTCTTCTTCTTCTTCTCGCTCATGTTAAGCCCCGATTTTCGAGTAGACACAACGAATAACGTATTATTGTCGAGATCGATCTTCCCTTTCCTTCAGAAAAAATTAGATGATTATTGCAAATTTGTGCTATAGCAAATAAAAGTATAATAATTTAAACTGCAATCGCTGGAATATTTTAAGGTTAATTACGGTCTTAAGATACCAAGAGATCGTGAGCATTCTGACTACAAATAGATTTGATAATCCGGTGTATGTGATCAAAAGGGTCGAATATTACCAGTGCCCCGCAACGCGTTTTTCAACGCCTTAGGGTCCGCCCATGATGACATCATATAGTCCTCTCCATCGTCTTCCGCTGCCTGTTTCATTTCCTCTTGCTTTTTAAAATAAAATGCCATCATTGCTTTGCGTTCGTCTTCACTTACACCGGGTTCCCGCCCAGGGGCTCCACCACCTTTCTTCTGCAGCTTAACAATCAACGTCGACTTTTCATTCTTCCCTACAAGGTCGCAGACGTATTGATCCCTAAAAAACTGTTTTCCAGCCCACCACAGCTCAGCTGTGTCCTCAGACATCACTTCAAGCACAGCTGATGAGTCAGCTAACGCGTCCTCCGAACGCTCGGAATCCAGTATGAGCTTTACCGGATCATAAGCCGGCAGTCCCATGGGAAAAGCCATTGCCACAGCTCCGCGAATATTCTGTAGCTTCTCAATCAGTTCATTTTCATCGATGCAAATGCGGCGAGTCACTTGTGTCTTGCTGTCCAGAATCGCCTTGGCATCGGCAGCCACACGTGCCAACACATCCTTAAGCTGCGGACTCACGCCGTCGCCAGTTCGATGACCCAGTGGATCTGCCTCGTAAAATTCTCCTCGCTGCTTATCAGCCGCCCCTTCTTGGTATGCGTCCAATCCCTGCTCTTCTGGCGGCTTTGCCATGCCATAACGTCCGAGTCCTTCTAATGCATCAGCCAGTGCTGCGAGACGCAGACGCAAATTCTGCAAACGACACAGTGAGCGGATTAATGTGTCGTTCCTTGTAGATACAGAAGTCTCGAACAAGAATTCGCTGCGGTCACCGCGTTTGACATGGCAGACGACCATCCTATTGCTACTTTGAAATTAGATCTCGGGAAGCGTCGCTTCGGGTCTTTCAAGAAAAATTATTTACTATTGCCATTTACAACACAAGAAAGAAAAAATTTAAGTTTGGGGACGAAGAAAAGCCCGTACAGCATCATTATCAACATTTGCTTACGAGTTCCCCACCGAAAATCGTGATGCTCTGGGAGCCGCTGCGACCTGCGGGCCCAGCCGTCAAGAACCATACCGCCACAGCCATTTCTGCACATGAGCTACTAGTATTTGGTGGATATGACGGTCGTCGCAATCACAATGCGCTGCATTTGTTAGACGTAAGACGCCGCACATGGCGGGAGCTGTCGCATGAGACTCGCGGTCGGGCTCCTGCAGGTCGCAACGGCCACACGGCTACACTAGCGGAGCGCAAACTTTTCATTTTAGGCGGATGGTTGGGCAGTGGCCCGCTCGCAGCAGCTGACTTGCACGTACTGCATCTAAATACGCTCACATGGGAACAGCCGGAGCTTACGGCCACACTCGGTCCGTGCAACATGCATACGGCTGACTATGTACATCACTTGCGCAGCATTCTCGTTTTTCGTGGGGGAGACGGTCGCGAGTACCTGAACGACTTACATGCGCTGCAGATCGACTCTATGATGTGGACTAGTGTTCGCACTCGTGGCCGTGCACCAGCTCCTCGCGCGAACCACAGCTCAGCGTTAGTGGGGAACAATCTGCTCGTTTTTGGAGGATGGGATGGGAGGCAAAGACTTAACGATATCCACGTTCTGGACACGCGGAACATGACGTGGTCAGGTGTGGCCGACGAGTTCAAAGTCGACACAAGGCATTACGTGGCACCACCACTTCCTCGAGCGGGTATGACCATGGTTCGTCATAAAAATCGATTATTCATATTCGGAGGCTCTGGCCCTTCGGCCAAATGCTACGATGACCTTCATGTATATGACCCAAGTAAACATCAGTGGGTTGAGACTGTAGCTGTCGCTACAACCGAAAATAGTGACAAGCAGAAGGAAAGAAGGAGAATAAATTCCCGATCAAGTCGGGAATGTAGACAGTCTCAGTCTCGGTGGGACATTTATGAAGATGAAGACCAGCAATATAGAAATTGGCGTGAAAATGACGCCGACGAAGTTGATAGTGAGGAAGAATTTGAAGATGCACATAGCGATAGTGAGGCCATGATGGTGGCGCAAGGTCTGGCCTCGAACTCATGCGACTCAGGGAATCCGAACGAGATGTGTGAGCTTACAGACGTGGAGACAACTGATCGAAAGGAACCTGTATTTATCGTAGGGAGAGGTCCTGGAAGACGAGCTGGCCACACGTGCACAGTGGTTGACCGTATGCTCGTAATATTTGGAGGCTCGTGCGGTGCTGAATATTTAAATGATTGTTTCACATTAGACACGGATCCTCCTCCAAGGGCTTCGATAACACTTCCGCCACCTGCAAGAATGTTACGGTGTGCACTGGGTCACTATGTTGACTGCGAGGAGTTTGCCGATATTTCCTTTGTAAGTAACGTCAGTTTTCGTGTATTTGCTTTCAGATTTTTGTCTGATGTGCTATCATTTTATTCAAATAGCTTGTTGAAGGACGTGTGATCTACGCACACAAGCTCATTTTGGCAGCCTTAAGTGCGCGATTTCGAGCCATGTTTTCGTCTGGTTTTCGAGAGACTCACGAGGCTCAAATCGTAATTCCGGATATGCGCTGCGAGGTTTTCTTGCTACTTCTGGAATATCTTTACACAGGACACATTCAAACACACGATGATGCTTTTGCCATGTGCTCAAATGCTTATGATGAGCTTGAGCAAGATTTTGTAAGCAACAACATAGCAGCGTGCCCCCAATCGGCGGACGGCCTTAATGAAATCGAAGCAGCATGTCGCCGACAGTCCGTGCGATCTCAGTCGCTCGATTTGAAGCTGGAAAGAGAATTGGAGTCGCTATTAGAGCTACTTATAGCTGCCGATCAATTTATGCTCGATCATTTGAAGCAGCGCTGTGAGCGGACACTACAGTACGCAGTGCGCATTGGTAGCGTCGAAGCCATATCAGAAGCAGCTGAACAGGCCAATGCCATTCAGCTGCAAGCAGTATGTCAGCATTTCTTACGCAACTATCCTGTGCCTATTCCTTTCACCGGCGATACTTGTTTGATTGAAGGAGAAGTGATTGACAATAATAGTTACCTACACAATTATGGTTCTTGATAGGAGAGCAATTATATTTTGAGCTTATTTCAAATTACCTTTATTTTTCAAGTCAGCTTAGTGGCTTTAATCTGTGCATCCGTCGTAGAGTTTTTTCTTCAAAATTAGTTTATCCTTGAAGTGGGTGTCGAGCCATCAGCTAAGAAGAGCCTTGAACACCATCTGGCAAAGCCAGCCAAAACCGTGGCCTCAGGTAGCAGGAGGTGGACAAGAACAAGCTAGGAATGATGACGATAGTACTGGCCGTTGGCTCGAAAATTAAAGACTAGCTAGACGTGTATTGAGAGTCACTTCGATAGTTGATCTGCTTTGCGGCTCAAGCGCGGCAGTTACGTTTATCAGAATTGATTTAAACCAACGAGGCTGGTGGCGTGCTGAAAAACATCAACAAAATAACTGTATTTTGCCATTCTCTTTGTATATAGGTCGGTCATTGTGAT